CCATAGAAAATAAAAGTACACACAGAAAAAAACAAGTACCCATAGAAAATAAAAGTAACCCATAGAAAATACAAAGTACCCATAGAAAATAAAAGTAACCCATAAAAAAACAAGTACCCATAGAAAATAAAAGTAACCCATAGAAAATACAAAGTACCCATAGAAAATACAAAGTAACCCATAGAAAATACAAAGTACCCATAGAAAATAAAAGTACACACAGAAAAAAACAAGTACCCATAGAAAATAAAAGTAACCCATAGAAAATACAAAGTACCCATAGAAAATACAAAGTACCCATAGAAAATACAAAGTACCCATAGAAAATACAAAGTACCCATAGAAAATAAAAGTGGAATAAAAAATACTAAGTGTACTTATGGGCCTTCGTACTGTAGACACATGTAGTGTTAGTATGACATGTATGTGTATTGAGCAGAGATACGTTTACTGCAGTACTGACCAGTTCTGCATGGTGGTGTTGTTGTGCTTGCCTCCTGCAGTTTTGAGGAGTGGTTTGACTTCACGTCCATCGGTGAGGAGGGGGGAGAGGAGAAGATCGTGGAACAGGAAGAGGAGAAGAATGTACTGGGCATGCTCCATCAGGTAAGAACACAGACATAAACAAGGCCAGTTAACAACTAGTAACTTAGTTGAAAAAGACCTTTACATGCTACGCAAAGAAGCAAATTTTAATTATTCCCAAAATATGATTATGATGAAAACACTACAGTCTTAGAAATACTGCCCATGGAAAAGCAATCTTCAAACACTTGTAATAATGCAACTTTTAAGGTCAGTTATGCTCATGTACCGTGTTGGAGTATTTTACAATATTTTTGAAAATCTGAAAGTTACTAAAACTTTTCTGGGGTGTCATTTCACATGGTAAAGCTTTTTTTACTTCAACTGATACATAATATGAGCACAGTGTTGTCTTGCAACCCTCTTTCCAATGTGCCTTTGCTTATTTTTTACTTTTCACATCCTTTGTATGACCACTAGAGTTGTGAAAAGATGTCCCCATCCTACTCTGCAAAGACACAGACAGATTGATTTACTTCCATTTCCAACATTGTCAAATGCACCACACTTTTCCTTGCTACAGAAGAAGTTTTGAATAAGAATAAGATATTTTATCTTCACATCCTTTGACCACTAAATTTGGTTCCAAGTTCCCCCATCCTACTCTGCGAAAACACAAATTGGTTTACTTCCAGGTCCTGACGCCCTTCGTGCTGCGTCGTCTGAAGACTGATGTGGACCTGAACATCCCGCCCAAGAAAGAACTCCTGGTGTACGCCCCCCTCACCTCTCATCAGCAGACCTTCTACAAGGCCACCATGGACAGGACCATCATCGCCATGCTCAAAGACAAGGACGTAAGGCTTGTTCTACTTTTTTTACTTTGGCAACGACCTTCATTTTTTTGAAGATTTTAATGCCTTTGGCTTGAACCGCTATCTGTAATTGTACCTTTACTAGACCTTGTTCAGAAGTACCCTGTGCAGTTTTTCTGTAAATGGCTAGGTGGTGCATAGATTTAAAGCAAAGCATGTTGTGACATCCCTTTCAAACCATTATTTACTTTTGTGCTTTGTACGAAGTACACATGTTGAATTGGGGCCTATTATATCTGTAAATTTTATTTGCAACAAACTTAAGAATTTTATTCAGCCAAAGTCTGACTGGTTTAAATATATGTGAATGCCTGACATGTATATATCACACTAATGTATGTTTGGGACCACACTTGTTTGGGGGAACACATCTATAGCAGCAACACCTGTGCTGTGCAATGTGAACCAGTCAGAATCGCTCTGAGGAAGGTGACAGACAGTGACAGAAATGTCGGCTGAATAAACACAGACTTGGTTGTGTAAAAAAAAGTTCCTTTATTCAGTCACTTACCAACCTGATGAAACTATTCACGGATGAGAAAAACTGAGTTGAAACTAATGCTTGCACTTGCAGGAGAAGCCCTTGGAGCTGTCGGAGAAGGGCCGGCCCAAGAGACGGGCGGCGAAGAAGGTGGACTACCAGCTGATGATGGAGGATGAGAGGGATGACGGGCAGTCAGAGGAGGGCATGCTGGAGTGGGTGGAGAAAGTCGCAGAGGCTTACAAAAGGTAACTGTTTTTATCACTGGATTAATCAAAATTTTTTTGGACAGTTTGCTCAAGGCAAGGCCAAAATACCACTTGCATACACTGAACTAAGTTGGTGGATGTTGCTTTTGAAGGCTTGTAGGTCATGTTTGGGAAGGAAACTCTTTTGTCAAGAAGAGAGTTTGATAGTTTTGCAGTCCATAGAAAGAAGCTGTTGCTGTGAAAGGGCTTGATGGGTATTTGGGCAGTATAATGTTCAAAAATTAATTCTTTCCTAGAACTATCGCAGAGTGGAACTCGCTGTCACCAAGTACAGTAGGGGTATTATCATTAGATAGCTTTAAACAATGTTTAGAGCTAGATGTTCAAGGGTTAAAGTCAATCGGTGTACTGTAGTCAGCTGCCGCCGCACCGCGTGCCTGCAAAGCTGTTGTGTTACGCTGAAGGGCGGACAGTGTTTATACCGGCTATACTGATATAGATACAGATAATGATGTGAGCTGGAAGAGAACTTGTGGTATGCTGAAAAGCTCTCAGTCACAACAGACACAGTTATTGCCATCAATGCAACAATCGTGGGCCAGGATGTGTGCAGACAGCTTGTGTAAAAAGAAAGCAGTTCTTCTTGGAATTTGCTTGTTATTTCAGTTATTTCTCTGGTTTTGAAGTTAATTTATTTGAGTTTCTGTCCACAGGGAGGTTGTAGAGGCTGGTCCAAAGACTGCTCAGCTGAACCTGAACCTGAAGAACATCATGATGCAACTCAGGAAGATCTGTAACCACCCCTACCTCATAGAGTACCCACTGGACCCTGCCACCCAGGTATATACTGTACTGTCCCTGTGTAACCACCCCTACCTTATAGAGTACCCACTGGACCCTGCCACCCAGGTATATACTGTACTGTCCCTGTGTAACCACCCCTACCTCATAGAGTACCCACTGGACCCTGCCACCCAGGTATATACTGTACTGTCCCTGTGTAACCACCCCTACCTCATAGAGTACCCACTGGACCCTGCCACCCAGGTATATACTGTACTGTCCCTGTGTAACCACCCCTACCTCATAGAGTACCCACTGGACCCTGCTACCCAGGTACTGTATCATCCTCGTACAGGGCTTGAAATGCATGTACCCCCTGCATATGCAGGGGATATCTCTTGACTTGGACATGCTAGAGTCACAAAATTTGAAAAATTATGTACAGTAGCTCTTGTTCCGGGGAAGAAGTGACGTGAGTTTGGGCCCCCTAGCCACTTGCTTTAGAACTGCAGGGGCATTTGTTTAATAATATTCAAAAGAGGATAACCTAAGAACCGGTTAAAGAGTCATAAAGATTACTGTAAATCTTGAAATGATCGTGGTGGTTTTATTTTCGCGGTATTCACGATGACCGCTCCATCGCGAAGTCATGAGATCGCGAATGTGATCTGTTTTATGAAGTACAACAGCTGGAAAACCAGTCTTTTGGCGCCTAGCCCTCATGGGCATGAATGTGCAAATACTAGTGAACAACATCGGCTGCGATGGTGACAGTGGAATGCACACCTGGCACGGACGTTTGTTTACTGGTAAACCCAGATGAAATTACACAATGCACTTGCTTTACTATAAACACGCTGTTTGATCCTTCTTCTCCGATGTTTCCACAACAAGAACTGCGCTGTCCTGCATTTCAAATGAGACAAGACAAAAGTGGAAGACATGCATCGATAGCGGCATACAGGCCAAAATTGTGTACCATACAATATACTGTATATATAATACAATGCCACAATAAGAGGCATATTTCAACCAAGTGTAAAGGCACTGACGCCACTGTAAATGTACTCCCGTGCTTAGGTATTGTTTCAACCGTGAACTTTAAACATCGCAAAATAATTATTTCCTTTCCTAACGCGAAATTTATCCCCTGCGAACATAACTGAACTTACAGTAACATCATTTGGGGAAGGTATGAGGTCGTGGAACTTTAGTGTGAATACATTTGTCAAAATCCTTGTGTCATGGAGTTTTTTTATGTGCCCCTCCCCCCAGGACTTCCTGGTAGATGAGAGACTAGTGGAGAGCAGTGGGAAGTTGTTACTGTTGGACAAGATGCTGCCCATGCTACAGAAGGAGGGTCACAAGGTAGGGCTGAAACTACTTCTTATATGATCATTGCTACTTACCCAACACATTTCTCAGAGAGCATTAAATGAGACTCTAGAACACACTTGGTATGAAGACATTCTGATGCCAGTGGTACACAAAAAAATTCTATTTGTTTGTTTCAAACAAAAAGGTAGCAAAGTTCTTTCTTTCTATGACAAAAACTTGTCTAATAATCATCTCTACAAAGCTGCATGTTTAGCATCATTTGCAGTGGGTCAACTTTGCTATGAAAAATTGTACTTTTTTTGTTACAGGAAATTGTTTAATGTGCCACTCGCAGGCTTCAATTTGTTTATTTTATCATTAGGAATTGTCTAAAAAGAGTAAAGAATTATTCCAAGCTTTTGTCCCAAGTAACTACCTGAATGTTTTCTAAGACATCTTCTGTGCCTTCTTGTCAGGTCCTGATCTTCTCCCAGATGACTAAGATGATGGATGTACTGGAGGACTTCTGTCTGTACCGCCAACACAAGTACTGCCGGCTGGACGGTACCATGGCCTACCCCGACAGACAGGAACAGGTACTACCTACAGCCACTACTATAAATCTATACATTAATTTTGCAGTTGCGGGGAAAGGTATTTTTGTTGGTGGTTGAAAGAGTTTTGTGTTGCAGTGGTAATAAGTTGGAGATGCATATTAATGGGTTCACCACACCACGAAGTGGTGGTGAACCCATATTGCTTTTTCTGATGTTTCTTCTCCTTCTTCTTCTTCTTCTCCTGCCATTTTTTAAATGGATTCAGCTTCTTCATTTTAGGGCCTAAGGTCCTGAAATTTGGTATGGAGGTACAGTGGGCAAATACCCCTAGGCGTTTTTAAAATTTTTGTGATACAGGCTTTTAGAATGGTTTTATTTGAGTTTTTTGGCTGTGTTATAGCAAATGTATTACTGTGATAGTGGGTAGTGTTTACCACGTCTGGGCATGAGTCATCACAATGGAATGCAGGGCATCAACCAATAGGCATGCAGCTTTCCTCTATACTTCTTGCTGATTGGCTGTTGGGATTTAACTTGATTAACACCTGCACAGAGCATTTCCACCTGCACAGAGCATTTCTTGCTGATTGGCTGTTGGGATTTAACTTGATTAACACCTGCACAGAGCATTTCCATACTGACAGTATGTCTTTATTCAAGTGTTTTGGTAGGTATTTCAAGCTTTTCTGCTCCAGCATTGGAATGCGGGGCATGAACGTTTTTTTTTTTTTGAAAATCAACAGTTTGCATTATGCAATTAAAAATCCTAACCAATAAAGTAGGGAATAGCTATCCAACTGTTGTTTTAGTTGTATGTTACTTCATATTATAGTTATATCAATGTAAATCATTGTTTTCCCTTGTGTTTCTCATTCTTTCCCTGCCATGTCGTAAAATGTGGTGAACCCATCGCTGTATTTGCTCCAAAGCAAATATTGGCCTTTCTAGTTACAGTGTTATATTTTGTATGATTTTACGGTGGAGAGGTGGCAACTGGGAAAATTAAACCTTTGCAAACATTTAACGATTTACAGTACCTGCCTTATAGCTTTGTTCCACAGAACTCAATGTGTAATAGAAGTGAAAGTTTTCTCAGGAAGTATATTTCTAATGTTAATTTTGAATGGCTGACATTCATCCTGGCCAGTAAAGATAAATACATGTATGTACGAAAACACATCTGATTTTGAAAAAGTTTATCACTTTAATTGCTGCTAATTTTCACAGGACTAGATGGTTGTACCACAATTATGTTTCAAGAAAAAAAAGAAGGGAAAAAGTTGCTGACTAAGTCCTTGTTCCATTGTCCCTTTCAAGATCGACACGTTCAACAGGGACCCTGAGTACTTTGTGTTCCTCCTGAGTACACGTGCCGGTGGGCTGGGCATCAACCTGACTGCTGCAGACACTGTCATTATCTACGACTCTGACTGGGTAAGTGTGGCATGGTGGTGTAGAGAAGTACTGTAAGTCTACAAATTTCCGCGGTATATTTAGATTCGCGGAATTCGCGGGGACCTTTGTACCGCGAATCTATTTCCCCGCGGATATGTTTTGCGTAAGTGTGCCCCCCTCCCCACATGCATTCACGACGGTATTAAAGCGCCAAACACACGCGATTCACAAATCACTGCAAATCAACTTTATTCTTAGCAAATGTTGAGTACCAAAATTTTTTAAAGTTATACTGATGTCAAAAAATTATAATATTATCACCGAATCGCGATACTGCGGCAATGGCCGTGTCAACCGTGTACCGCCGAAAAAAATCTATGCCTGTGGCAGAGCGCCGGCCATGCGCGCCCGGGCGCTTGAAAATTGCGGGAACATCGGGCATATCTACAAGTATTTTTATGAAAAATATAACGGCTGGTACCTGGGAAATGTTAGTTGGAAAACTTTAGGGGAAACTTTAGGCCCCGCGAATCTAAAGAGACTTACAGTACTCTAGCCTTATCTATCACAGAAACTCTGAGGTTTGAGAGAAAAATTTTTAAACCAATCCGTCAACCTTGACAGACAAAATTGACAAATATCTTGGGTAAAAGTATGAAAACTTCCAGATGACTGTCAACAACCTCTGTCAACCCCATGTCACACAATGAGCAACTGGATTTACTAATACTGTAAACTGGGAAACTTTCATGGTCGTTTCATTTTGTGGTAGAAGGGAAAAGGAGGTTTTCACTACAGTTGTAACAATTCTGTAGTAGTTATGAAGAGAAGGCTTAGAAAGGGCTGATGATTGAATAGTAAATTTTAAAAAGAATTATGGACAAAGGGCTATAATGATGTTTGTAAAATGTTCATGATAGGTAATTATGTTTACCGAAGGAAAACATCTTGTTTTTGCTACGTTTTTATTCTTTCGTTCCAAACACTGACCTCTGACCTGGCCAATGACCTGATTTGTTGATGTCTCTCACCATGGTAACTGGTGTTGGTTTACATAATGTTGCAATTTTATGGTACAGGGATTTAAACACATTCATATATATGGTCAGACAGGAGTATGATTAAGAATATTAACCAAGCAGACCATATGCGAAGGTAAACATTATGCATTTGCTTTGCGAATGTTACCTGTCTAGTTAAATGAATGTATTCTATTTTTCCCTGTAGAATCCCCAGTGTGACCTGCAGGCGCAGGACCGGTGTCACAGGATCGGCCAGACCCGCCCGGTGGTCGTGTACCGCCTGGTCACCGCTAACACCATCGACCAGAAGATCGTAGAGCGGGCAGCCGGCAAGAGGAAGCTGGAGAAGATGGTCATGCACAAAGGTAGGGCGATAGGTCGATGTTAGGGCCTAGGAAAAAAATTTTGTTTCCTGTTTCCCGACCGACCCTAGAAAAACCTGCCGTCCTTAAGTTTTTTTGTGTGTGTGAACCCCTGCAAGAGACATAATTTATTTGAGCCGATGAACCTTTCCTACCTCCATGATTTGACACCTGAGTGATAAAATACTGTACAATCAGTTTTTTTGCGAGACCACAAGACTAGGTTGGGACTTGAGTAGCTCTTCTGGCCTCCCCTGTCTCCTTGCAAAGTAGGGGGCGTACTGTGACAGTAGACGTAAAAAATTTGGAGGTATGTGTTTGAAACCTTTCAAACAGTCACTGATTGATGAATATTGTTTCTTTTAACTGTTAAACCATACGTGACTGATGAACCTCTTCAACAATCCTGTCCTGCTCTTGCAGGGAAGTTCAAAGGCGGAGAGTCGGGGACGAAGAAGTCACAGTCTCTCATCGACCCTCACGAGCTGCTGGAGCTGCTGAAGTCACGTGACCATGACGTGGTGAGGGACTGTAACGACGTCATCTCCACCACGGCCCTGCGGACACTACTGGACAGGTCCGACCTGCTAGCCAGGTACTGGACATTCTGTTGTTTTGGGGGGAGACCTGATTTTGATGTAGAAGGAGCAAGAAGGTTTTTGCAAGTTAGCTGTTGACACATTCCTGTAGTACAGTAGTAATCCAAATTGTCATGAATTTGCAACGGATAGGTCATTGCGAATAAAAGTGAAAAAAATCACTGCAAACACGTCAAGATAATCTGTGCTTCCACAGAAGCTTTCATTGTTCTGAAGACAAAATGTTAAAGCCAGTAGATTTTGGGTGAACATGTAGCTGAAACAAACCATGTTCATGTTGCTGGCAGAAGTTCGATCTTGTCACAAATCATGGATGAATGAAACTCCTCAGTCCTATTTGTGATTGATTGATCTGTAATTTTGTGGTGATAGATTTTGGAAATAGTCAATATAACCTGCCCCAGACATTTCTTCATAGCCCCTTTCAACCTCAAATAGACTAATGTGAAATGTCCTTGCAGAAATCAATGATAAACATTTTGTTGTGTTTCAGATATTTGGAGAACAAGGAGGAAGTGGAGAAACAGAAGAAGGGGAAGAGAAAGGTCAACCCCAAGGTCGCCCAGGAGGTGCCGGGGTTGTTCAAGGTCATTGAGGAGGACACAGAAGGAACAGAACTCAAGATCTTCAGTAACTAGGACACAAGGGCCAACACACCATCCTACTAGTCATAGCCTTTAACCTGGTAGTGCCTTTAAGAAGCACTAACATAAGTGGTACTGATAATCTATTTAAGGTACTAAGGTCTGCTAGTCAAACTCCTTTTTAGGGCTTTTCTACATTTTTAAGAAATCTGGCAAGTTTTCGAAAAGATTTTCTATTGTGCATTTCCATCTTTGTAAAACTTTCCGTGGGCATACATGTACATTGACAGAAACCCTGGCTGTACTGAAAATATGGGACCAATTTTTTGTTTTTCAAGTTGTCCTTTGAAATTTATCAAACTTTTTGTCCATAAACTGTCCAGAAAGAAAAGACTTAACACTAGGTATGGAACACCAAGACTTACAGGTGTTCAGACCGTTTTTTTTTACAATGGTGCTTGTATTAACAAAAGGTCTATTTCAAAGAAGTGTAGTAATATTGTTTATTGTTCATATGTTTGTTTATTCAGCCTGTTCTGTTTTATGACAATATACATTGTGTAGATGTAGTGAAGATTTAGTTATGTTCTTAGTTTGTTATCTGTATGATATTTATTTGGCAGGTAGTTATTAATAGTAGAACCTAGCAGAGAAAATATGAAAAATATCCTAACATCTAACCATACAAAGATAAGTCAAATGGATGCAAAGTCACGAATTTGTGTCATTTCTTTCACTGTACATGAGTGTACTCTCTAGTGCTATCTGTCAGCTCTTGCAAAAATATTCAAACGTTACAAAACCTACTTTGAAGTCTGTTATGATGCTGATTTGGAGGAAAATGTTCAGTTATTACTTTTTCTGAAGCAGTCCAATGGAAAGGGAAGTCCCTGGTAGCATTTGTACCCTGCATTTGTACCATGTGGTGCAAATTTTTTAGACCATCCATATGTTTCATATGGTATGAAAGCAAAGTACTGATGTATTTCTTCCCAAAGCACACATCTCTACAGCGTTCTAGTTCTTTGTTCTATGTTCACCTTTGTTATTATAGGTACGCACAAGACTTTAACAAACGTGGCAATTTTAAGAGACATAAGCTTAAATAAAACACTTGTTTTAAGGTCCTGGACTTCTTTGTGCAGTTCTTCTAGTAACATTTATTACGTTTTTACTAGGATGAACTCTACATTTTATTGATACATACTAAAGTGTCACTAAGGTTACATGTACATGTACATTGTATATCGCACATTGCGGCTGACAGCAGCTGCACTTGCAGTTACAACTATTTTCGCAAGATGGCGCTGCTGTACGTGGTGATTATTGCTCGGCAGTGCATGTTTGAAGTCGCGTTCAGTTCAGGGCACCTAACACGTTAGTGAAGATGGAGTTGTCCTACGTTCCCAAGCGCTACCTTGTCACTTGCCTGGTGTATTTGGGGATCCTTTGCCAGTACTCCATGAGGAGAAACCTGGACGTGGCTATAGTGGCAATGGTCAACACGACAGGTCCTGAGGATGCCCAGACATCGGATGAGCAACAGCTAACGGTAAGGGTGGACCATTTTTTGTGGCTCTGCGTTTCACCCAATATGGAATCATATCATTGGTGCATATTCTTATGAAAGTCCATCTGTGCTGGTAGTTACATATTGCCAACATTATTGACGAAATTCTTAAATCACTTGTTGCTTGTGCCATGATGTATTTTTTTTACTCAGCGTACTCGTTCTCTATATTTATTGAAATGGTGGATCAGTCTCTGTTGCTAGCAGTTCTTTCGGTATGCAATACAATTGTTTATTATTTCTACAGAAACGGCGTTGAAAATGCATATGGCAAGAAGTACATGTATGGGGGTACATAGAGTTCAGTGTTCAAATATAAAATGTTAAAAATATTATATTTCCCAAACTTCGGGAAAAACATTTGAAGGTACATGTACCAAGCAGTCATGTGTTGTTACTGTAGTAATGAACACAGCGCGGCTTCAAAATTTGTGACAGTATTGTGTCTATAAAACAACAGAATAGTACCGATCTAAATGCAAGGCGAAATGATGACATAACGCCGACGTAGTATACAAATTTATAAAAAAACTAGGTAAATTGTCAGTCTTCAAAATTCTTTTCAAAAAGTGCGGCATTCACTGTAAACAGGTGTTGATTGTTGCGTGTTCTCAAGAGCTTATGGTCTAATTATGTAGTGTATAACACCATTCATGCGAAAATGATGCCGTATCAATTATTCATATGACAACATATCTGCCATCAATAGGTGATAACGTGCGTTCTAATCACCATTGTTGTGGGTGGGGCTGCTCAATTCATTGCGCTTGAAACCTAAGCCTACTCTCAATTTCTTCTCTTTTTTTATTGTAATGTACAGGTATTCTTGTCTATAGACGTGTCAGCCGTACCATGTATAACAAATCGAAGTTTCGATACTTTCAGTTCAGATGATATTTCCCTATTTGAAGTGTATAACGTTATCCATCTAAGCTATAAGGTGAACACACCTTTTAGAACGTGTACCTTACGCATATTCGACAAAACAATGGTCTTCCTAACTACTGTGTGCTTTATATACGTATGCGTCACTGGGGCAGTATGTCGTGGTGAAATCTAGTAGCCATTGAAGAGATAGGGACACAAAACACACAATATTAGTAACCCGCAGTTTGCAGTTTAATGACAATGCTACCTATGTGATGAGGCTTTACCTTAGAGAGCATGTACAGTGTGGCCAATCAGAAACATTCCACTGGACATTAAAAATGCCGTTCCATTTGATTGGCAGACAAAGCCGGAGTTTGATTGGTCGCAGACGATGATTGGTGTGCTGTTCGGATGTTACTACTGTGGCTATGTAATGACGAAGCTGATTGGAGGTTACCTGTTCGACCGTTATCCCTCCATACGGTGAGCTCAGAATTTGACGACATACTAGTAGTTTTATTCCTAGTCCGGGACTGACGAGATCTACTGTATTGGAACGGAGTGTGCGTATGTGCATCATATATGTGTGTGTGAGTATGTGGCTTATGTGAGCGTGTGCGTGTATATTCTGTGTGTGTATGTGTATGTGTGCCTGTGTGCGCGTACGTGTGTGTGCGCGCGTATAGGCATATGGTTTATGTGCGACTGTGTGTGTGTATGTGTTATGTGTTTGTGTGTGTGTGTGTGTGCGCGCGCGCATGTATGCGTATGGTTTATCTGCGACTGTGTTTGTGTGTGTATGTGTATGTGTTTGCGTGTGTATACTCGTGTATGCGTGCACGCCTGTATGTAGATGGTTTATGTGTGAGTGTGGGTATATGTACTTTGTGTATGTGTGTGTGCGTGCGTGTATGTAATATGTGTGTCTGTGCCTATGTGTGTATATTTGTGTGTGAGGTTTATGTGTGTGTGTGTGTCTGACGTATGTGTGGGTGGTCTATGTGTGTGTGTGTGGTTGATATGTGTAAGTCTCTGCCTATCTGTGTGTATTTCAAAATGATGACATTTCTGTTATAAACACTGCTGCAGTATCCTGGAAGGTTCCATCTTCTTCGGCGCTGTGATCCACATCCTCCAGCCGCCCGCCGCCAGGCTGCACGTGTCAGCATTCATCATCTCACTCATCATGCAGGGCGTCGTGGAGGTAGGGGGTCATGGATATTTTAATCAATACCTTCGTACAGTTTACTCTCCAAACAGGCTTCGACTAATTTTTGGCGATATCAATACAAGCGTATACTTCTTCTTCTTCATTCTTCCTCTAGTGAAGTTTTGTCTCCAGTACAGTCTGTCTCCAGTACAGTCTCCAGTACAGTATATCAGTCAAGTGTACACACGACATAAAAATCTACATCACATTCCTCCATAGAGCATGACTATACCAGCGGCCTATGCTGTGATGGGGGCCTGGGCTACGCGTACTGAAAACAACCAGAGGACGCCATTCGTACTTACAGGTGCGTAGAAATACATAAACAACACAAGGACATTGGGTGTGATATATGATACATTTCGAATTCTTTGGTTCAGAAATATTTTGACTAACTACAAAATATACTTCTATCTTATTTGATGCGTTCCAGGACTTATGAATTGTACGTACACATGTCTTGACCTTCTTATTTTCTAGTAATTAACGATCACTGGAATCGTCAGATTTGCCTTTACACTTTCCTTGCTGATAAAGTCTCTGGCTGACATAAAGTCGCTACATGAACATGGAACAACGTATACGTATTAACAGCATTTACTAGTCGTAATGGTTTGATATGTAGCCACTACTAGATAGAAATCGTATTTCTAACCCCTTCACCCATATGGCCTATCCCCCCCCCCCCTAGGTCAGTACATTGGTATGTTCATCGGTACTTGCGCCACCGGAGTTATCACAGAGAAGCTGGGATGGGCCGCGTCCTTCTATATATTTGGTAGGTTCTGAAAGAAATGTTTCCTTTGCTTTATTAGACTTCAGAATTGTGTGACATGTTCCTTGATCGATTCATTAAAACGTTGTAGGCCACATTCCTTGTAAAAAAACAACGTTCCCAAAATATCAAATTTAAGTGTTTACTAGAAAGGTAACATTTCCAAAGCAAATGCATAATGTTTACGGTCATGCTCTGCAATTCTTACACATGTATATACATGGTCAGACAGAAGTCTAAATCCCTCCTGCTATAAAATTGCAACATGATGTAACCCAACACTAGTTACCATGGTGACAGACGTCTGGTTCAGGTCACTGACCTTATTTGCTTGGAGAAGAAGTAGAGGAAGAAACAAATTCTTTTTTCTTCGGTAAACATAATAACATTGCCACTACCTGTGTCGTAGGAATGGTGGGTATAGCGTGGGGCGTCATCGCTGACGTGTCCATCCGGGACTTTTCGTTAGAAAGACCCCCCATGGAGCCGGAGGACAACATCTTCTTACATGGCGATCGGTATCAAGATGGCGACAGCGTCAACGAAAGAACTAAGTTACCTGTACGAACTCCTTAGTGCATTTTACATGCGCTCTAGGGTGTGATAAAAAATAGAAGTCCGAAGAAAGTGGGAAAAGTATATATATATTAACATGAAATTGACCTGTTATGAATTATTTTGTCATATCATAGCGTGACAAACATATCGAGTACCGTTCACTACTCAATAAAACGAAAAGTAATGCATGTAAGAAAACTTTTACAAGTAGCTGGATAGGTTTTGAAAACTGTGAGACTACTACTCTACGTCAGTGACCAGTGAAAGTAGTGGATGTTTTATGAAACGTCTCACAGTTTTCAAAATCTATCTATTATAACGTTATAGTAATTGCATTTAGGTTTCTTGTGTATCTTATTACCTGGATGTCTAAACTAAAGACAAATGCCAGTAACTATTTCATGTCAATATTCGTTAAGAACTAATCTCCAGGCAGATTCTGTGGGGCAAGGGGAGTATATTGGCCGCCTGTACCCATTTGCAGCCCCACGTATTGGGTGGCGTATTTTTTTTTTATTCCAACATGTAATCACCAGACGTGGTGGCGGCACACTCAAGTTTCTTCAACTTATATTAATGCCGCCACCAACACATGGGACAAATACATTACAGGACAATACTCATTTACACCTGAGCTAAGTGAGGAAAGCCGTGTAAAGTGCCTTTCCCAAGGGTACAAGATCGGTGGCATGTCAGGACTCGAACCCGGGACTCTTAGTTCCGAGTCGCGCACTCTGCCGCTACGCCACACGACCCACGCGTGTGGGTGGCGTATTGGATACTGCCTGGCCAATTTGATACTGTATTGCAGCCACCCAGAGAATCTGCTTGGAGATTGGTTATAAGAACTACTTAGGAAGTACATAGTTTTAACGGTCGTCTGTTTCTGCGCCCTCTAGCAGATGCAGACAGCAGTGCACCGCCCACCGATCCCGTGGTTGCGCATGCTCACCTGCCCGGCAGTGCACGTGATCGTGGTGTGCCAGGTGTTCCTGCAGTGTGGGACCCACCTCATGACGACATACGCACCGCTGTACTACGTACACAGCTTCCACGGCGACGTCAAAACTGTCAGTAGTTCTACTGGAATTTCGAACAAGATTGACAATGAAAACATACATTGCCATGGCGATGGTGGTTGTTGTTATGGTTATTGTTTGCACGGCACTGCCATGATTTCATGATTTTGAAGAAGCCTTTGTACCTGTTAAGTCTAGACAGATACAGTGCAGCTCAATATATCACTCGCTCCTACGTATACCCTCCCCTCAGTGTATAGTGAACGAGCCCTGGGGGTCACAGAAAGTAGAGCAACCCCGGCAAAAAGGTTTTCCCAAGGGTTTCCAGGAATGTGGGCATAGATGTGTGTCAGCAAAATTCCAGAGCTGTGAGTCATTCCTCTGGACATTCCATGCCTGTGGATAAAATTCCTGTACAATTCCTAGAATTTTAGCAAACTGCACACAATACTGTACCATTAGGCTCACCCCTGAGGCCTCGCCAAAAACTGAAATCTTGAAACGCTTGAAATTTTTTTTGCTGGAATTTTTCTTGATGCTGTATGTCTAACAGTACATCACTAGGCATAACATAAAGCTATATCGTTTCTTAACGTGCAAAATTTCAAGACTAGATCCTATTGCCACATACCTAGTCTTGGTCAGTTGGTTTCTAATTTTCTGATGACATTTGTATATGCCCCAGGTCGGAACGTCTGCCGGTGTCCCAGTGCTGATCGTCGCGGTGTGTCTATCTGTGGCCAGCATTGTGGCGGATTCCCGCTATTGGAGGAGCACCATGTCCACTGAACGCCTCAGAAAGACCGTCAACACCGTCGGTAACTTGTCTGATCTTCCGATAGAAGTTTCGATAAGATAGAAACGAAAACATAGATCCTCTGACAAGGCGTTTGAACCAAATTCAAAAGCTAAACACTAACACGGCCTTCAGCTAGTTATCTCATTGTTTTTATTTAAAAAAAAGTATTATAGTCGAAAATCGTAATAACTACTTTCACACGTGATAACGGTTGTCACAAACGTATCACATAATTTTACTACATACATGCACTAGATGCAGTTTCAAATACTTCTTATTATTATTATTATTCTTGTGAATTAATGAGATAGAGAGTCGCTATCTCATTTATTCACTAGATAGCAAATAAAAAATCTCATCCTATTGAATTAAACATAATGCGGGTAGCTTCACATTTCGCTTACCGAATGGTATAAGTATACGTAAATGTATCATTAGAAATAATTATAACTGTCTTATTTTCTGTCTGTCGCTTTGTCTGTAGGATTCTTTGGACTGGCCGCCTGTTCCATATCTCTGGCGGTATCTACAGGGTTTGCAAGATCGCTGACAAGTTTCTGTCTGAGTGCGGTGTTCGTAGCGACTGCCATGGGTGGAGGTATGTGGGGTTAATTTAGAGTGTAAATATCATTTGTAGTTTCCTTATCTTCTGTGCCAAGAAAAAGCATCGCATTATTTTCGTTTCGGCTCATAAAGAATAAGAAGGGCTAGTTTACATAATGCAACTTGCATCATATCAATAACTCGAAAGTTCAAATAAAAGTCTTCAAGCGAATGAATGAAAGAGTCGAACACAACTTGAAAAGGTTGGACCAGTGACATTGGAGAGTATGATTGGCCCTGAAAATATTTTTGAGTACCTTTCATACATATCAAACAAAGTTAATAGATTATCCCATGTTAACCTTTTTTTTTCTAATCAGTGCAAAGTGAACCTGGTCTTAACATCATATATCGATGATTTTCGGTTCAATATAATGTCACATCAATTCCCCTCGCTTAAGTTCAGCACAGACACATTCGATCCCAAAATTATCAGATACATTATACATAATACATAATTGCATGGTACACAATTAATTGTCATAAATTAGAAAATCTCTAAGAGTTCAACAAGAAACTGTTTACAGCAGTCTTAAACTTAGACATATTGGGACTGTCAGGGAAGACCGAGGCTGGTAAGGAGTTCCACAGCCTGCTAGTCCTTGGTACATATGAGGACATGAGAAGCTGAGTGTTGGATTTTGGCACTTTAACAAGGTATGGGTGCCCACTTGTGGTTGAGCGAGTTACTCGCGTTCCAGATACTTTGGTCGGCAGAATTCCAATGAGTTCCTCTGAGGGTTGCAGGAAGACATGCCGGTAAAAGGTACTCAGACTGGCTACTTTTCTCCTGTGTTCTAAGGGATATATTCCAACATTTTGCGGATCCCCAATTTGGAGCTGACGTACAGCTTTCTTCTGAATGCTGTCAAGTAGCTTAAGTACAGTTGCACCAGCTCCGCTCCATATTGGGGAAGCATATTCCATGAGGGGCCTTCTATACTGTTATTCGAGCCTGACGAGGGAGAAGGTCTCTGGTGCGCCCAAGGATGTATAACCTCCTGGCCGTCTTCTTAGCAAGACTAGTTTGTTTAGAACTGTCATACAGCGTATTAGTAACGGTATGTGGTACCGTGTACCAAATTGAACAAAATGATCACCTCGTCTTTTCAGGATTTCTAGTGAACCTCCTGGACATCGCTCCAATCTTCGCTGGTGAAATTAAAGGAATTTCTACTACAGTTTCTCATCTGGCCGGTTCCATTTTCCTCGTTGCTGTTGGCTTACTGACTAAATACAAAGTAAAGTTTTATTATCATCAGTTCTATCTCTTTATCCTGCATTTTGTTCGTGATTCAGACGTGTACTCGCGAGCGTTTAAAAGCTATTAAAGATTTTATATCAACATAATAAGCTATGTCACTTTTATTTTATCTGTCTATTGCAGACAAGGAACGAATGGTCCATCGTCTTCACAGTAACGGCTTGTGCCCTCATCGTGGCCGCCATCTTGTTTATCATCTTCGGGAGTGGGAACGAGCAGTCCTGGGCACGAGAGGAGCCCAAGGAGAAGAGATTGACATGTACAGCCCCTGCAGTACCGGATATTACGTCAGTCTTTACAAAGACCATACTTCCTGTTCAATATCCACTGGAGGAAGACTACTCAAGAAATTCTGACGAAGAAGAAGACTACTTTGAGGAGGAAGACACTGCAATGGCTCATAATTTGGTGGATGGAAAATATTCGAAGTCATATTGAATTATGGTTTTGTACTGTTAGGTATGGTCTTGTTAAGTTTAAAAGCACAAAAACATAATGTATATTGTGTATTTTGTAGTTTGCTAAGGATTAGTAGAATGGTTGGCATCAAATTAGTCCCTAAATACACAACAAATGACAGTATTTCATACTGCCTGGTTGTTGAGAGACAGTGAGAGAGGTATTAAAGGCAACTCTAAATATGTTACATGACAGACGTTTTCCTCAATGAATCCCACACTAGCTTGTTATTCAAATCCGACCCCTTAAATTTAATACTTTTGGTAGATTGAATTTTATTATAAAAATTAGTCTTTCAGGTTCACCAACAACGTTTAGTTTAGTAGCAGACAAAGACTATTTTCACGAATACATGCACCTTCCAATTTTGTTGAATCCCGAAAGACATACTCAAGACATGTCATGGTACCAAGGCCATGCTCCAGTGCACCGAGTCTCAAGAGACGAATAAAATATCTACGTGTTATTGTCGTTTGGGTACTTATCGCTAGCTGGCGCTTTTAAGAGATGTTCCAAGTGAGGTCACCTGGTCTCAGTGCATAAAGCAAAGACGTCCGCCAACACGCAGTCTCCTTAACACCCTCCAGACTATATAGTCAACCATGGAGTTACCTAAACCACGAGTTCCCAAGCGCTATGTAGTTGCATTCCTGGTGTATTTGGGGATCCTGTGCCAGTACTCTATGCGGAGAAATCTGGACGTGGCGATAGTGGCAATGGTCAACACGACAAGCGAAGAACAGCTAGATACTGCTGGTGCAGACCCACCGGTAAGTATCATGTAGATATGTATAAAAAGATAAAGTACTTTAAACTTCAGTAATGCCAACTCTAGTTGATCAACCTTATTCCCAAGTCCTAGACTTGTCGATATTTGCCGAGAGTGTACCTAGTATATGGTGAGAACAGAAGACGTGTTGGAAGGGTTCTTGTCTATCTTTTGTTCCCTTTCGGACTTTCAAAAACTGGTCTTAACTTATTTGCACCTCACTCAATAGTTTGTACTGCTTTTCTGAAAATTCTCCAGTGTCACTGTCGAAAGGTAGTGGATGCTACCTGTAACGTCTGACCGTTTCCAAATCATATCCAGTTGCTTGAGTAACTGTTTTTGGCGCATATTTGAGGGTAATTTACAGTTTGCCCTGACTATTTCTACAAGATCATCAGTGGCACAGACGAACCCTTTCTGAGTCACACCGATCCCACATATTATATGGACTCTGCATTTGTAACCTATTATAGCGTATCATAATCATTATGAATCGTTACATTTTTACAAGAATTCATATTTAGTAAAACATCAATGTAGTGGTACTATTTGGTACCGCTGGTATTGTTAACTGTTCTAATATAAAACTTTCTGACTCATGTCTACATATTCATCCTGAAACCGCACACTTTGTGTTCCTCTCACGTGCAAAAATGGCTTCTGAATAAACCTAGTGCATATTTTTGAGACTACGTTTTGGAAACACTGTACACAGGGCCATATTGTAGGACTGAAACCCGTCCGACAGGTTTTTCTCTGGCTGCACGGGTCACTACACTCTTGGCACTTAGCATAATGTTAACTGCAAGGCATACTTAGGCCACACCGATTTAATTTTATGGATGACATCCGCGCGCGCATTGATTTTCGCCCGATCTCAAAAAAAAAAAAAAAAAAAAAGATCACGTATTCCGAGGCTCTGGCCTGGCTTTAGGCCTGGGTAGTGCATGGTGGTGATAACTCTGGTTGACGGCAGCCAGGCTACCGAAGCTCCAAGACTCAAGAACTCAGTACATACGTACAGCAGTGTCGATTCATATATTCCGCAAAAATCCATGTGTCGGCCTGTCGTATACGTCGCTATGTAATGCGCCAAATTCACAATACCAGGTTTGTATTCCTGTGGTTTTGTAGCATTTTTATTTTTGGCCGGATTTTTATTTTTTTCGCCCTCGCGCACTAGTTTGGGGGTCTTCAGAGGATGTCATCCATAAAATTAAGACGGTGTGGCCTTATCTAGTGGGCAGACAAAGCAATTAGACAGCTCATTCAAACTGTTACGGTAGTCACAATTCTTCCCAAGGCGTAGGAATATTCAGGCGTTGGTCAATGATGTTAGAATAGATTTTATACATAAAATTCACCATGAACATTACGGCGTAGTGTTTAGGACCATTAAATTAAAGTTCTGCTAGACCCATATATTACAGTACCACCCATATTACGGCTTGTATAAGTACAATTTCTGGGAATTTATTACATGGACCTGATTAAGCAATGAAGTGATGAAAGAAATATTGTCTAGAAATGCTTTCAGGGTATATAAGGGTTAAGAAACCGTTTCGAAAATTGAAAATGCCTGAATAAGAGTTATGTTGTTTTGGGTAATACTATGAAACTTGATTCACGATTCTCAACAAATTTTGTAACAGTGATTTAATTCAGATATGGGATGTCTGGAAATGGTCTTGAGATCCGTGAATTTTCCTCCTTATATCTAGATCTTCTCCTTGCTGAAAGGCATTCTGATTCAATGTGATCAATATGTTTGTTCAGGAACCTCAGATAAGATTCCGACATCTGTATCTGCATCTGTATCTGTATAGCCGGTATAACTGCCCTTCGGCGTAACACACCGAACGACATGTTACACCTAACCCTTGAACATCTAACTCTAAACATTGTTTAAAGCTATGTAATGATAATGCCCCTACTGTACTTGGTGACATGTATACAGCGAGTTCCACTCTGTGATAGTTCTAGGGAAGGATGAGTTTTTAAACAGCTCAATCCTTGGTTGATAACTCTGGTAAACACCCAAGTAAGAAGGTTCTTTGAGATGCCTCATTCTTTTTTTTCTTATTTTGATTGACAGGCGAAGCCTGAATTTGATTGGTCGCAGACCATGATTGGCGTGTTGTTCGGGTGTTTCTACTGGGGGTACATCATCACGAAGCTGGTGGGAGGATATCTGTCCTACCGTTTCTCAGCCATACGGTGAGATCTTATTTTGTTCACTGCAATTTCAAAGAAGTTGTCAGGATAACTTTCATTTTCCAACATTTGATAGATATATAAATAAATAAATAATAATAAATAATATAATAAATATAATATAATAAATATAATGTTCCAATGGGCATAGTTTAAGTAATGTTTCTTTCGTTTAAGAATAGATTATGTATCCTAAGCTGCAAATGTATATAAAGATCATTGTTCCATGCCAATGTACTTGATACTTGATACTTTATTAGGATATCCATTAGTGCGACTAATCTTCCTGGATTCCAAGAACATAAGACAAATCAATGTACAGAGTCACAGACGTCACAATCATATAAAAATGACATTCGTAAAAATCACAATCATATAAAAATGACATTCGTAAAAATCACAATCATATAAAAATGACATTCGTAAAAATTCACTGTAAAACGGTGAAAACTTGTTGACGTGTTTAGAACATTGAAGTTTTTTTAGCGTGTCTTCTAACATGTGTCCGCGGCCATCCTGCAGTGTTCTGGAAGGCTCTATTTTCATCGGAGCGATCATCCACATCATCCAGCCGCCGTCAGCACGACTCAGCGTGGGAGTGTTAATCCTCACCCTCATTCTACAGGGGTGTGCAGAGGTATGAACCATTCTTCATTCATGAGAAGCTCAAACCGGCCTGGAGGCAGCTTTTCATTGATATAATGTATTAGAGTAGTCTTAGAGCTAATGTTGTTAGATGAGTATCAGTAGTCCTATTCGTACTATACACACTATTTACCTTTTCATCTGTTCACTTGATAGGGCATGAATGTTCAATAAAGGTTATCTTTAGTTATCTTGATATAAAGGTTACATCATTTAAAGTCATAACAAATCTATACACATATTTTACGCATACATGGAACACACACACACACACACACACACACACACACACACAATGTGCATAACCCCCATTCATTCAGAGACACAACGTTAGTATTCTTGCAATATTGTAGTTCTTTGGCATGAACGGTAGTTTCACTTGTAGGAACTGAAGTTTTTTTTTTTCTCACAGGGCATGACAATGCCTTCGGCCTTTTCCGTACTCGGGATGTGGTCTCAACACGCAGAAAAGAGCAGGCTATCAGCTATGGTACTTGCTGGTGAGTAGAAGATATGGAGAACCCTTCATTGTCGATGTAAAAAGCAATCCAAGTTATAAGACAGCACACATGTGGTCATATTGCTAGCGCTGCAGCTGTACACCAATTTTAACCACATAATAGTTTTAATCTACTAGCAAGTAGAGATGACTAATGGCATGCAAAGCCCACATATTTCTAAACGTTCGTAAATGGAATGAGATAGTTCCTATAGGATCAAAATTGGCACCAACGGACATTTTAGGGTTTGTACTTTGTCAGCAAGGCAGTCGGATGACAGCATTAGTGAAGTATATTTACAAACAGGCTATGACGCTACGTAACATTTCTCCAACTAAAAAAAAAAGACTAACTGGAATTTTCGACCGAATGTATCCATCAGCCTTCTTTAGCTTTAGCTATCTGACACAATCGCTCAGCGTCAGCAATAGGTCAAAGGTTGTTGGAAGCCGATATCGCCTCCCGTCCCTGTTGAGAGAAGAGTTACTGTGTTATCAACTAACGATGCTTGTTTTCCACCATGTCACAGGCCAGTACATCGGCATGGCCATCGGTACGTGTGCTACTGGAGCTATCACAGACAAGCTGGGATGGGCAGGCTCCTTCTACATATTCGGTAAACTATCAATGATAATTCATTAATCTATTTGCAAATTTATGCCCGAGGGCTAATTGCAACATGACACAATGTATACAACATACATACAAGTGGAACATGTGACTTTTCTATAAATTACTACAGAATACAATCTAAACTTTTTTAGTTTGCCTTCTTTTTCGAAGGTGTGATAGACAAAGTGTCCCACTTTTTCTGCAATGAGTTTCGAGAGGTTAACAGGGTTGTAGTTTCTATAATAACAAGAGATGACGATATTTTTGACATATTTTTTTATATCTGCTCCAATTCAATTATAAATGATAAATCCTACGTTACAACAAAAAAGCTACTTATCACGTCTATGCATATGTACAATATTTGATTCATTTTTTGCCAAATTTTATTTTGTACATTCAATTTGTTTACAGTGTTTTAAATGACACCGCGACAATCTATGTTTGATACAATAGATAGAAGGATAAACTATTCCTACTTGCTTGAAAAGGATTGTTCGGGGTGACCTGGGGTATTATTGCCGACCTGTTCATTCGGGAAATGTCGCTGGAAGTCGCCCCGGAGAATCCCGAAGATGACTCCTTCCTCGGAGACAACAATGACAGTCAGAGTGTCAGCGCCAAGACAAGACCGCCTGTATGTACCTCTTTGTATCTTAAGCTGAGGTCACAATTCCCACAACGGGCCCCGGCCGGGCAGCTATTGGGAACGAAAAGTATGATATAAAAGACAACAACACACAGAAAAGTTTTTAATTATAATCATGGGCACTATTTCTGTGTATTCTTGATATGAATTGTTAATTTTTCGTTCATACAAACAGCCCGGTCGGGCCCCGGTTTGGAAATGTGACCTAAGCATTATCGCAAGTTCTTGCCTACATGGCTACATATTAAATACAGGTAGTTATATCATTGCATCATAGACTAAGTGTTAAATCGAACTGTAATGTATACTAGTACCAGCTGCAACATTTTCTATTAATGTTGATACAGAAAAAGAAATATGTATGTATTTCAGTCATATTTAACCACACTGAAACTTTTCTCAAGTTTATGTTACTGTGACCAAATTTTTCTATGTAATATAATCCAAGAGGGGTTTAAAATCATCTTAATTACAATGCATATACAAGATGAAAGGTTGCTTGGATAAAGCCTAGGTCAGCCGTTTATCTCTGGATACAGCACTAAGAGGAGGGCGCAAGGCAAGTAAGGTAAAATATTAGAAGTTACTATGTACATCAGGCACTCTGGTGTTTCAATTCAAAACTAGAAAGGTAACATTTGCAAAGCAAATGCATAATGTTAACCTTTTCATATGGTCTGCTCTGTTAATTCTAACCCAAACACATTCACCTATACGGTGACAGGAGTCTAAATCTCTCCTACTATAAAATTGCAACATTATGTAACCCAACACCAGTTACCATGGTAAGAGACAGTCTGGTTCAGGTCATTGACCAGGTCAGAGGTCAGTGTTTGGAACGGAAGAAGAAGAAACAGAGCAAAAACAATATGTTTTCCTTCGGTTAACATAATCATTTGAATTCAAATAATATAAAACCATTCAAATCATGTTGTACAACTTGTGATTTTGGTCACAGGCCAAGGTTCGTCCACCGGTGCCGTGGAGGCACCTGCTGACGTCACTTCCGGTGTACTCCATCATACTGTGCCAGGTGTGCCTGAAGTGTGCCACCCACCTGATGCTCATCTACGCACCGCTGTACTACGTACACACCTTCCACATCAACGCCAACATTGTAAGTCTTCTAGAAATACTACAGTATACATATGTCAAGGCTCACTATTTTGGCGACGCCACAAGAGTGAACCTAAAACTCTGCACCTAATAACCGTTAATTTTTTTGTTATTGCGCGGTTCAATTTATAATGGTGCTTATTGCAAAGCGGTTTGGGATTTCGAAGTTGTTTGCAACTAACCGTTTTGCTACTGATTGGAGTCTACTGTAGTATTACATTGAATCAGTCTGACAGAATTCTAGTAATATCGGCTACATATAGCGGCGAGAAGCAGAACTACAGTCAGAAGCTCTGAGGAAGGTGTCTGATAGACATCGAAACATATTTACTAAGCAAAGTAAAAAAATACCTGGTTGTGTATAAGAAAATCCTAATATCCTATGTTCAAACTGGTGAAATTATTTTCGGAATTATCTTCGATTCCAGACCGGCCTGATCGTAGGTGTGCCGCCGCTGATTTGCGGGTTGTGCATGCCGCTTTCCGGTATCATTGCTGACTCCCGCTACGGCAGGCAGACACGGTCAACTACAGTTGTCAGGAAAACATTGAACACCGTCGGTAAGTTCCGCTTTGCTATTACATTGATCGTGGCGACACTAAACTTTGATGATGATACCTCTACGATCTATATTGCGACCCAAAGTTAACGGTTTCAATTGGCAACAGTGCATGCGTTTAAAGTTTATTTTGGACCAGGTGTCTTGAAAGTTTATCTATGTTGGTAGTTAAACTTTTGTTCCAACACAATCAAAGGTAAATGTTCTCAACTAGAGCTTTCGAACAGTCCCGATTTTTGGGTGGCTTTGGCAACTTGCCTTCGGCACCCGCTCGCAACTGTTCAAAACTCGCTTTTAATCCAACAAAAACTGCTCGGCCATAATCTTATGAGTATTTGACACGCGTATAATAACTTCTCTTCTCGTCAGGTTTCTTCGGCCTGGCTGCCTGTTACATCCTCCTGGCCGTCTCCACCAGTCTGGGGATGTCGCTAGCCAGTTTCTGTGTCGCAGGAGTGTTCATCGCGCTCTGTATGGGTGCAGGTATGACAATGGCAAAATACTTTCATCTGGTTCTGTATATTGGTCAGCTTACGATTTAGGAAAATATTTTGCGAAAGTTGGTACACAAACACGTAGTTTCCTTCATCTTTCGTACGAACCGGGTGATAAGACCTTGTGGTGGCCCTTCGCCAATATGCATAATAATTTGTGTAAAAATATCAAATTTACTTTGATCTAATCTGGCTTCAGCATAATCTATGCATGTCTGCAACCTCCATGCATTAGACCCTGATGCTTGTGAATGATTTATTTATAAATTACATATTTATTTACTGATTAATCATCAGGCTTCTGCATCAGGAAAGGAGGATGGCAAATTTCAAACCGCCAATGGTAGTGCTCGTGCGTAACAGGTAAGAAATGTTATGATTTCCAGATAGCTTGTTAGATTTATGTCTGTCTATCTTCTGCTAGGATTCAACGTCAACCCGTTGGACCTGTCACCGGCTTTCGCTGGACTCATCAAAGGCATCTCCACATCCTGCTCACACCTGGTCGGGTCCATTTGGGTCGTCATTGTGGGGGTGCTGACAAAACACAAGGTATCTCAAAAGTTCATCTGTCTTGGTAGAAGCCATCATGAAGCAGAAAGTCTGTGGCGCCCCCCTTCTTTGTTGGGGGATGGTTGTAATGCCCTGATGTAGATGGCCTCTTGAATACATCAGTGTCAAAGAATCTACATTAAGGCATTACAATCGTCCCTCAAAGACGGGGGGTGACACAGACTTTCTGCAACATATGGTTCGAGTCACGCGTATCCTTTGCATAACGTGGCGTACAAGATATTTTCTCATGAATTCTATTACTCACAGCAGGTCTGACATGCAGCCACTACTGATTGCTCATTATAAAACATGGTAGAGTATATGGAATGACTAATATTTCATATCAACATCATTTGTGTTAATAACGTAGTATCAATGGTAGCACATGGGTGATAATGTCATTCTATGAACTTGCAACGAATCGTCACATCCCGTTTTCGATCTCTTCCAGACGAACCACGAATGGTCCTTAGTGTTCACCGTGGTGTCGTGTATGCTCGTGGCGGCCGGTATCGTCTACCTGGCCTTCGGCAGCGGGGACGAGCAGCCCTGGGCGCGGGGCGAGCCCGACAAGAAGACCCTGACGTTCGCCTCGCCACAGGGCCCACCGGACATGAAGAACGGCTTCACCCGAGCCATGCTGACGGTACAGGGGCGTGTGGAGGAGGACTACACCGTTCATGACGACTTCACCAGGAGTTCGGACGAGGAGGAGTTTCCGCTTGAAGAAGAAGAAAAAGTTGAAAGATTTGGCGGTAGATAGAAGACAATTTTCTGTTGCCCTAGCTCAAGCCTAACTTACATGTACATGTGATTTCAGGTTTAAAGTTTGAACATCGAAGTGTAGATCTCAAGTAAAGTTTCTTTTCATGCACAACAAGTCTTAGAGTATTTTGATAGGTATTCATATCATATGCCTCATTGTAATAAAATATTCTAATATACTATAGCACCTCAATGTATCTTGAAGTGTACAAATTTATCGGAAATGTAAAAATGTAGGTGGAGACAAGTTTCAATTTAAAGATGAAAGAAATATCTGTTACACTTTGCACCCTTTGCACGTTAAAATAGCCAAATAAACGGAATAAATAAGCACAATAGGCCAGCTTGTTTTCATTATCAATCCAATGTGTACAAAAAAATTATACAAAAAGCAATAAACCTTTGTCTTAATTTAGGGCATTCATACCTGTGATACATTTTGACCATCAAAGAATTACTTTCTAAGATATAAATAATTAATAATACCTTATAGTAATGCTTGCCAAAATTTGTTCAACATCTTGTTCAACATTCACGACTATTTCTAGTACACAAGTTTGCGACGAAAGACCAACAAAACTCAGCATTCAGACATTCATACGTGCCGAATCAACATCGCATAACACAGTAATTATATGAGCGAACACCGTAGGCAATAGTAGTTCGGACACAGTCTTGTGGGGCACAGTACTGGGTAAAGTTGCAGAGGTTCTTCTGACGCATTCAAGTGCTCAAGTGCTGACTGTTGTATACCGCCTAACTAGTACTGTGCGTTGGCTGCAGTTCTCATGACCCCCGCATATACATATAGTGCCATATAAAAGAGGGCTTTACAAGGGAACGAGTCGGCAAACTTGAACTGATTTCCTAGCCTCTACCAGAGGAGTTGGTCCGCTGGAGAGTACACTTTGCCGCAAACTGTACTCTCCAGCGGACCAACTCCCCTGGCATGTTTTCTCTCTATTTTGCCAATTTCTACTCTTTCTATCCGCCTTCTGAAGCCTGGTAGAGGCTACTCATTTCCACATATTTTGTAGATTGTACCCTGAACCCAAACATATCCAATTTTGTAGCTTGCTTGTGCATCCTAGAGTAAGAGTCCCTACAAGTGAAACATAATTAGAAGTGCTGCCTGTCCGTTTTTGTTTAATTCACCTCACCATAGCCTGACTAAATCACACTCCTGGCTAGCTGTGGGCCCCCCTGTGGGTCATTAACCGACCTTCGGCATCGAGAACTTGTGCAAACGACATTGCACCTTAGTAAGCCCTTAGTCACGTATCCCAGAGTTACCTCCTATCACGCTAAAAAAACATGAAACGAATTTCCAGACGGTTCTATCTAATTATGAGCCTCGGGTCTTTCAAACATGCAAAAAAACAGTCACTTAAACATCTAAAAGATTTAGCGCCAACGCGTTCAGATAAAGGGTGCTTCGACGTGTTAGTTCTTGTTGATGTTTGAAGCTGTGTAGATGTCCTACTTGAGGATGGTCTACCGCAATATTTCATTGAATGGTCATAGATCAACGCTATATTGACACTAATTGTGACATCGTCAATTTGACAACAGATAGTTTTAAGTATTTAACCAACAAACAAAGGACAATGAAGGATCAGACAAACAAACCACGGAAGAGACATCTACTGAGTATATTTTCTTTGTACGGAGGACAAATATTCACAAAATCAAACCACGTCTTTTTCGTACGTATTGTTTACCATGCCGGATTCACCTTGCCACGTGGCGTCCTTGGGTATATTAAAAATGGCACTAATGTGAGTATTTTCTATGAATATTCAACGCAATAGCAAACACTTATTAGTCGTTCGTAAGTCGCGTTTATAACTATGCATACACTCAATGTACGCCCGGGCAGGAATTTTCATTTGCGGGGCAAAGGTTGTGGAAAAAGTGCTCGAGAAAAAGCATAGGGATCGAAGCGTACAAGGGAGAAGGCCCGGGGTACCAAGCCCAGTCTGCTCAACTCGGATGCCGGTAGAGAAGATCCGCATGATATGGCCACGCAAGAAAGAGCCCCGTTCTTTCTTCACGATTTCCTGACTCTGTATTACGTAGGTGAGTGTCTAAGATCTAGCTGAAGACATTGAATGGGCATCTTTGTATACTCGGGACTCTAAGATGGCGTACTTCAGTTTGCTTTATAGTGTGGTCGTATTTTTGACATGGAGCAGAGCAGGTCACACAGCCTCCTACCCCAACCTGGGATGTTGTTGTTCGACTCAGAGGCACACATACGAAGGGAACATTGCGGACAATACTACACATCTCACATGCTTCAAAGCTTCTTCTTTCCACTCCATCCCGAAATCGTTGCCGCCCAGTCTGACAGAATTCAATGTCAGGCATCAGAATTTCTCAAATATCATGTCGGGCGACTTTCCTCGTCTCGAATCTTTGAGGATACTAACCATATGCAGGAGCCAGGTTGTGACTGTCCAACCGGGCTCGTTTCAAACCTTATCAAATCTGTCACAACTCTCAATAACCGAGAACAAGATCGCCCGCCTGGAGGCCGAGACTTTCAAGGGACTGGACCAGCTGGAGATCCTGAACTTGGACAATAACAGACTCTACTTCATTGATGACGCGGTATTTGTTGGGCTCGCTGGAATGCGCAAGCTTTCTCTGAGTGGCAACTGTCTTTCCGGTATTCCGCGAGGGACAGACCAGTCAACTTGGCCGCTCCAACTCACGATGACGCAGAATCCTTTAACGTCACTCATCGCAGTTGAAGAGCTGAAGCACGTCTCGCGGCTGGTTTTGGGTCAAAACGGTCTCCCGTGCGACTGTAGGCTGCGAGAAATGAAGACATGGATGATGGTAAACAAGCAGCTGCAGTGGAGCATCGCGTGTGGTCCCGTCCCATACAAGAGACTCCGATGGTTGTCCATGAACGATCTGAAGTGTGACTACAAGGTGTCTGTGTCCTCAGACTACGGGACGGTTACAGGTAACGTTTCGCTCACCTGTCAGACAGACTGTCATGAAGGTCTAGATCTGACGTTCTCTTGGATCGCTCCAAATGGAGACCGTCTCTCGTCAACCCACGAGTACTCCAAAAGCTACACTGACATGGAGGAAGCGTACTGTAAAGGCTCGGTCGTCACTAGACGTGAAACAAGGAAGACGTGTTACTCCGTGCTGCATATCCCCACACTCCGACGCGGGATGGAAGGTCGGTACACTTGCCTAGTAAGGGCCAAATTTAAACATGCTAACGACGCATACGCTGTGCTCACTGTTGCAGGCACCGAGTTTCCAAACGAACGCCCCCAAAACGCAGGAAACGATACAAGCACAAGAACCTACGTGTACGCTTCACAGCCTCAAACGACAGCTAGGGATACCGCGACAGCAAGCAAGGGTGCCGAAACGGAGACCACTACAACTCGCCCTGGTCCTGGAATGTCTACAATACAGCTTGTCCTGGTTGGAGTGTCGCCTTTTGTTGGATGTTCCCTAATCGTTATGGTGATAGTTGCTTGTGAAATCAAGTGTAGAGGAGGTCGTCAACAGCACAACGCCAATGGAGACAGGAATACTGCGAGAAACCACAACGAAATATATGATGACTTAGACAGAGGAGTCAGCTATGAAAATGACGACCAGTTGCCGGACACAGATAGCAAAACTTGCGAAGTTTGTTATGAAAACGACGACCAGATTTCGGACACAGACCGTGCAAATAGAGGCGAGTACGAAATCGACGACCAGCTTTCAGACACAGACAGTGCAAACGGAAGTCAGTATGAAAACGATGACCAGTTTTCTGATGGTGATGATGATGGTGGGAGCAAGCACCCGAAGAGCCTGTCTAAGAGGGTGACATCAAGAAGACCTAAAGCCAAGAGTAACGTACTACACGTAGTTGCAGAAGTCTACGCTCAAGCACAAGGAACTGGTCACTATGACAACGACAAGAACGCTGCTGGCCTCAGTAATAGTAAAACTGTGGCACCGAGCAGGCACAAAGCCAAGAGTAACGTACTACACGTACTCGCAGAAGTCCATGCTCAAGCACAGGCACTTGACCACCGCAACGACGAGAAAAACGCCGCGGGACCCAGCAGCAGAGAGGCCGCCATATCTTCGAACAAATTGGCGTCTGACGGCGGCCATTATGACAAGGAAAGACCAGTCACAGATTCAGTCACAACGGAACCAGAAACCACCAAACGAAGTGATGACGGCAGCGACTCAGATCAGGACTATATGACGCTCCCTGCCGCGACGTCTGTAGGAGGAAACTCTGGAGTTGGGGAAGATGCATGTATACAACCAGAGGGCAAACCGGACGACAGAAACACTGCATCCACGTCAGATTGTGCTGGTGATGTGCCAGACAACGACTATGTAACGTTTCCCGTGGAAGAAAATGTCGACGGAGAAACAAAGAAAACAGGCGGATGCGTGTCAGACTTAGACTCTGCTTCGTCTAACGAAGAGGACAGCTCTGACCATGCTTATGTGACGTTCCCTGGGGAGCAAATTGACGAAGAACAGCAAAGAGAGGAAGGAAAGAAGGGGAAACACTTATCAGACTTAAACTATACTTCGTCCAACGCAGAGGACAGCTCTGACCACATCTATGTGACTCTTCCTGGAGAGAAAAATGACGAAGAGCTAAGAGAGGCAGAACATCAAAACGAACACGCGTCAGATTTGGACAATGCTTTGTCAAACACGGGGGACAGTCTGACCACACCTTATGTGACGTTTCCTAGGAAATGATGAAG